ATTGATAGACCTTTAGATTTATTTCCAGATTTTTCCTGCTAAAAACAATGGTTTTGTGAATGTAGCTGTACCTTTATCCTTGAGTACTTAAGCAAGTATTTTTCCTCAGGATAACTACCCAAAATAATTTGTGGATAAGAGGGCATATGCACATTTAAAATTAGTGAATATTACTCAGTTGCCTTCTGAAAAGGCATTATTCTCAAATAGTGACTTAGTTGCTCTTTGTCAACATATTATTACCAATACTGGCTACTGTCCATGTATCTTAATACTTGCCAACGAGACTAGACATTTTTCACTGTTTAGGTGTACATTTGTTTTATTTCTGGTGCGGTCATGCCCTCCTCCTTTTAATTATTTGTCATTTGCATATCTCATCTGTGAATTACCTATATATATTCTTTGCCCATTTTCTCATTAGGGTGCCTTTTTCTTATTCATTCCTAGTAATGCATTATTTATTCTTCATAATTTGGTATCATTAAATGTATCCTATTTTTCTTTCCTTTCTCATGAAGTAGAAAGTTTCATTTTAAATTAATTTCTCTTTTTTCTTAAGCACATTAAAAAGCACAAAATGGAGGCTCCCCATTTGTACTTGTTTGTTTATTCTGACCCTTGTTGGACAAATAATCAGAATTTTGGGGAAATAACAGGATATTTGATACAGTAAGAAAGTCAGTCAGTGCCTAGAAGGCTAAATCAGTGATGAGGTAGTTGGGATGCATTGAGTTATAATAAATAAGTTAACAGGGAAAATATTTACAGATTTGATGCAGTGTTTACAAATGTTAGCAAGCATGATCTGACCTGATGGGACTGATTTATTTTGCAGTTTTTAGTCTAAGGATGCTCTGAACTACTCTGTGGTATAGATTAGTATATACCACAGTACCTCAAAATTGTTTAACACACACTTTGATCACTTGGGTCAGTTCTACCTCCCTCTCTTTAAAAAAACCTGTAATGCATTTACTTAAGTATATTTAATTTAGCCTTAGCATTACATAGGCCTTCTAGCCTTACTCATGTGTTTTCCAGTCATCAAACTCTTATAGAAATACTTTTCTGTTCTAATTAGTTTAAATACATTCTGTTTAATTAGTCCGTTGCTGTCAAAATACTGGGATGCAGTGTCTGGGGATGCTTTACATTTGAATTTATCTTTAATGAGTTGACCCGAAAAGTACTTCATGGTCTTCATGGAAAAATATGTATGTGATGTTATGTAAGAATGTGGCCAAGGCTTTGTTTATGTTTTTAGATTTCTTCACTCTAAAATAATAAAGATCAATTTACATATCATTTAAATCTTAGGAATTAAGCAACACACTTACTGACAAAATTTAAATCTTTATTTTAGAGCAATATACTTTGCTGCTTATTCAAACTGCAAGGAAAAGTTGAATGGTTTATTTGATCCTGATTCTACCCAGGTACACATGATTTCAGCTGCAATGGCAGGTATGAATATATAATATTAAAAAACAAAAAATTTTCTGATACCTAGAGACTTAATTCTGAATTCTGATGAATTTAACATTGCAAAATTAAAGCAGTTAATGTGCTTTTCATTGATTAGCATCTGCAATATGATGTTTACATTTATTAGTATACAATAAATTTGATTAGGCAGTGTATGTAAAATCTGTTGTCAATTGGCATTTTTGTAATTATAAGTTTGTGATAGCATGCAGGTAATACAATTTTTACATTGTCTTGTGTAGCCCACTGAATATTTAGTGATCACTTTTAACAATTTTAAGAATCCAACCATAATTAAACTATAAGTTACAGAGCTGTAATTTACTCTTTTTTCCTCAATTTCTGTTAGTGCCTTTTCCCTTTTTGCTGCATGTTTTGGCTTCTGCCTGAAATGTGCCGGCAGTTCTTGGTAAAGTATTCATTTTGTCCTGTGCTCAAATACTGAAATTTTTGTGAGTGATGTGTTACTGAATACTCAAGAGTTATTGTAATGTATATACTGAAAAATATGTTTAGCATTCTACACAAACCACGCAAGATAGCACTCAAAATTTAGGCACTAGCTATGTGTACATGCTTGCTATAGAAATGTTTCCAGGAGCTCTTCCCTCATCACTGATGAGTATATATGATTCTGAATTAAAACAGTTAGTCCTGGGTCTCTGCACTGCCTTAAAGATATACTGGGAGTTTGGTTTGATCAGTGTGCTTCTGGAATCTTTTGCTGCCATACATGTTAGACAAAGCCATGGTCTTTGGTTCTCATTAGAAAATTCTCTATAGTTTTCTGAGATTTGTTGCATATTTAACCATACCCTCACATTTCCAAATTATGCTGTGACTTTATAAAGCAAATTATAACTGCTTTTATCAACTGTTGATCAATAAATTGAGTGTCAATTATGTGCTTAATAATGAGTGCGTTAAACTGTTAACCATTTTCTGTTTAGAAATAAAATGGATCAATTTGAACCACATACTTAACGAACTAAGTGTAAGTTTGAAATACTGATATCTGAAAGGTCAATAGCCTTATAATAAATGTAGCTTCTATCTTATAAATTGTTTTCATGGCTTTTTATATTTAGTAATTGTTGACTGACTCATTGAAGTTTTAGAGCTGGAAGGTAAAACTTTAAAGTACAAGATAGTAAAATATTCTTATTTACCAATGAAGAGAGATCTTGGGCAAGTTATATAATTTATGTGAATCTTTATTACCTTATCCTTGGAATGAGTAGGTTGCTCTACATAGATTTGTGTTATGAAAATTAATTCTTTAGTACCATAGAGATCATCTAGTTACAACCAGAATTATTTTTTAATGTACATTTACAGGTGTTGGATACAGTTATGATTTTACTTCTACAAATTTGAGTGTAGAAGTTAGTGGCTAATTTCAAACCATATAACCAGTATATTAGGATCTTTAACAGTATATTTCTGAATTGTTCAGTGTTTATTTTTTGTTTTTAACCCCAGAAAATTACAAAGAAATGTTGATCTTTCTTTTTTGAAAGAACTGAAATCAAGAAAGTAGATGAGCAATCATTTTAAGTTGAGAATAGTTATATATTCAGTATTGCAAATTTAGAGTTTCAGAATATCTCAGTTCCCACTGGAACATCTTTTTTCATTAGACTGTCTCATTAAAATTTATTACTGTATGTCACATTCCAAAGAATTTCAGTGGAATTATCATTTTGTACTTTTTTTTCTCAAATATGTATGAATGTTAACTCATAGTTTTCTGTTTTTATCTATACATTGATACTGTTTCCCAACTTGAATTCCTTGAATTTTGGTAAATTGATAGTCTTATACTTGTTCAGAGAATATTGCACTATACTCTTCCTGTGTAATTTGAAAATACTTCTTCCATTTGTTTGCAGTTTTTCTGAAAATGTTCTGAGAATTGTGCCTTCAGAGCTTCCTTGCACTATTCACAAGCATTAACATTTAGCTTTGCAGTTTTTATATATAACTACATGATTGGTGAAACTGAATGGTCCCATGCAGACTCATTAAGGTAGCCTTTTGCCCCCTTCATTCTTGTAATAATCTAGACCAAGTTGTACTGGTTTTTCCCCAGGATCATTTCAGAGGTCTTCTAAATACGAATTGAGAGTGCAAAGTGCTTAGAGGCAGTCATGTGAAAAATTATTTTTTAACTGTCTATTCCAAAAAAATGCTAACCTTGTCACTTTAGTATCAAAAATACACTAAAATGCATCATTAATGATATTGCCTGCCGGATTTTGCCACGTCAAACGGCACACACGTCACGGATTTAGTAACATACCTTGTATATAATTTTTATTCCAAGTAACCTGTCAAGTCACTTGCATTGTGCATGTTATTCATATGAACTCGAGTGTTTAGATACTAAGCCATTTTTTATTAAAGACAGTTTGTTTAAAGGGGGTCGTATTTTCTTTTTTTTTTTTTAATGTTTCAAGGGAATACTATAAGAATTTGATCTATAAACTTCCATGCATTGAAAATTTTTTTCCAGTTGTGAGGCTGTATAATCAAATTGAGTAATGATGACTCTGTTTTACCTGCCTTTTTTTTTCACTCCTACATATGAACTTTGTCAGACTTAAGTGTATCTTAGCTCTTGAAGGTACTTGTTTTCTTGAGACTGTTTGTGTGTTTCTGTTTAAATGAATTTGTGTATCCTTCTGTATACACCTGGACACAGGTGTGTATACAGAAATAGAATTAAATTTTTTTCTTTATTGTAACTCCCAATTTTCAAAAAATTTTATATGAAATTTACAGGCTTTTATATAAAACAGTACAGATTTAAAGGAAATGAACTCTGTTTTTTATCGGATTATATATTCTCAGAGTGACTGCTCAGTTTTTTAAAATGTCACTAGTATAATTGTTTAGCACTACATAGCTGGTGGGTTTCATTTGCTTATGGTATTACTGTTAATTTTCAAGGTACATTTTTCTATTTGATTTTAAGTTTAAATTTTTACTCATTAAATAGAAATTTTGTCTTACACATATAAAATATTTTAAAAAATACTTTGTCCGTGGCAGTTTATTCAGCAAGATGGATGGTTAGACAGATGTTTTGTATGTTTGTGTGTAAACATTCTCCCTGTTTTTTTGTTTTGTAGAACACAAGAAAGTAAATACAAAATATCCAAAATATTTCATAAAAATGGATGTGCAATATTACTGATCATAGTGCGAAAGGTGGGAGGTACTATTGTAGCAACCTGTGCTTTTTTTTTTTAATTACAGTTACAAAATGAAGTTACTTGAATTTTTTAAAAAGATTTACTAAGTAGAATGATTGTTAAAGAATAAAAAATTGTGGTTTCAACTCTGATCATGGTAGATAATAATGGTAGGAAAATGGGATATGATGATCCCCTCTAAATATTTTCTTAGATTCCCCTTTGACAAGGTTAGCATTTTTTCTTTAAGTCAAAATTGGTCTTCTTTTAGGTAAGTATATGGACTCTGAAACTGCTACAGATGGCAGAATTTTCAGTACTCGGTGCATTTTTTAAAAAACTATGGCCCATTCTGATAGTCCTTTCTTTCTCTTTTTTAACTTAAAATTTTCAAAAAAGTTAGATCTCACAGTAAATATTTCTCAAATCCTTCCAATGGGATTCATTTTGTACACATGTTTCTGATGAGGTCACTGCTTGTTGTTATGATACAGAAAAGCCTGTGTCTATTTTAGGCATTTACTGTACATTTCTCCCGAGAAAAGAGTGAGATCGTGTCATCTCATGCTCCCCATCCGCAGGTCACTTCCTGTAGAAATATGGACTAACTTAAACCTCGTGAGTACTGATCTGAGCATCTCTTGCAGCCTCTAGTTATAAGAAACACACCCTGGGAATTTATAATAGCTGTGGAATTAATAGAAGGCGGGAAATGAATTTTTATTTCCTGAATTTGTGTGTGCATTATCTTAGTATTTTATAAAACTTTAATTCTAATTCTTTTATACTATTCCTTCTAGAAGGAAGAATGGGGTAACTTTTCAGTCTCATCGTGTAATAAAAGCCTGGGGTCTTTAGCTTGGCCATAGTAGCCTTGACCTCCAAAGAATTCCTTAACAGTATTTAAGATCTACAAAGCTATAAATGGTATCATACCATTCTACAGCTTTTAGACAAAATAGTTCTCTTTGCTTAGCATAACATATTTTTAAAGTCTAATACAGTGCTTTCTATTCTCTTGTCTGTTGATACTTGACTTTCTACTATCTTGCAAAAACATTGATCTTAATACCTACCATTACTTTCCAAATACGGGATAAGAATATATGGGATCTTAGTTGTTTTAGTTTTAATTCAGTTTTTTTTTAGTAGTTTTAATATATTTCTCCTAGAAAGTTAGGTGGGTTTTGTCCTTACAGAAATTAATTGAAATAAAAAGTATTGAAAATGCAGTAATACAGGTATCACTCACTTAATGAAATAGACATTTTCAGCAAATTTACTATAAGCAGGATTTCTATTAATCTGGTTTTTAATTGGTTTAAATTATCGAATGAAGTCTTAGATGAAGCAAAATTTTAAAAATTGCATTTTAGAAGTTTTTTAAAGCTTTCTAATAAAATATTAACCATACTACTAACAATATGGCCAATATACTGCCATTTTGCTTTAACTGACTAACCTACAGATAGATTATTCATATACTTCTAAGTCAGTTTTAATGTTTAACAGGGTGCTCAGATTATTAGTATAAAATAGCATATTGTCAAAATGTCACAAAATTTAAGTGCCAAAATAAAAATAATAGGAAATTTCTAAATTTCACAGTGCACCATTCCCAGTATCTTTGTGAAGAAGTTTTAGAAGAAGTAGGAAGATATGTTTAGCTTTGGCACTTTGTTAACTTCAAATTGCCTTACCATACATAATTCTAAATTAGTGGTAAGATTTTGTTTCTTCCTGCTTATTTTGTTTTTTGAATTAGTAGATTATATTTTTCTAGATTTAATTAGCTTACTGCTGTCTCCCTAAATTATTAGAGTGTCTTTGGTTAAGAGAATGAAATAGCATAAAGCCCAAGAACCAGCTGGTAAAGGACAAATAGTTAATCCTGTAGATTATGCCTAGATTCTTTATCTAATTTAATGGTTCGCTGGCAGTTAGGCTAGTGTCTTTATTAAGAGCTAGCTTGTTACTGGGAAAGTTGAGCCGAAACAGCTATAGCAAGCACAGGTTACGGATAATAGCAGCTATGTAGGGATAAGATGACAGCATTCTCTGACTTACCTAAATTTTAATGTGTTGTGTTCCATAGGTCAGTTTGTGTCTGGAAATGAATTTTAGTTAAGTGAGAAATACCTGTTGCTTGCTTCCTGTCATTGTTTATTAACCTGTACGGAGGATAACTAAAACTATAATTTATGAGTATTTAAAATTTATTCCTAGTAATATTTATAAATGTTTATTGTAATATTTTAAAATTTACATATATAGGGCTTTTTCCAGCCTCTAATTGAGGGATTTTATGACTTGAAAGTGTTAAGCTTGGGTATTAAGTTTATATTTTTAGAAATAGAACTTCTATTTTTTTTTTTTTAAAAAAAGCTTTGATGCTCATTTTCTTTTCAAATGAAGTATAATAAATTGAGGCTTTTACCTAGACAGGCTGTTTTTTAAAAAGTTTGATATAAGCATTCCCAGTTTTAGGCTTTCAAAATTTAATAAAAAGGAAATGTTTTTTCTTAATTTTCACAGAATAATTAATGAAAACAATTGTGAGTAATGCAGATAAAGATAATTCTGTTGGTTTGTTCTGCTTGGTGGCTTTTTATTAATAAACTCCTAATATTACTGTATAGACATTTAGCTAATATAAATATTGAAGTTTAAAATGAAGAATCATTAAGTCAGAGGTATGACCAGAATACTGATGTCTGGTGTATAGTAGCTTTAAAATAAAACTTGAATATCTTTAGCTTGACTTTCACATAGAAAAATGAGGTTCAAAAGGAAAAAAAAAAACACAGTACTCCATAACTCTATTCTCAATTAAGCCAGACCATGCAAGAAAAATATTTTTCAAAGTATTTTAAACTGATCAGTTTAATATTTTTCTCTTTCCTTTTACCAAGAATATATGCATGAAAAGAACCTTTTTTTAAGACATGTTCCTGACACCCTGTCCAACATGTTAAATTTTTATTATTTTAGTACTGGCTGCTGCTTACAAAATTGTTGGTCCCATTCTAGTTTTATGTGTATGTATATCTGTATGTAGTATTAAAAGCACTTAAGAGAAATGGAGACTATATAACCATTACAAAATTATTAAAGGAGTTATCAAACCTAATTTTTATTTCATTTATCTTGCTTGATAAATAGATTCAATTTAAGCATCTTTTTGTGGAACAGCTGGCTATTTCTATGGTATTAAAACTGGATTAAGGGAGTAAAATTTGAGTTAGCTAATTATCTGACATGATAGAAAGGAAAAGAACCTGTGAGACTAAATTCCACTTTGTAAACAATGTAGTAAAATTATTATGCATTTGTAGACATACTAATTCTGAAAGCCAAGAAAGTTTTATGATTAGTTCTCCACTATATGTTAACTGAAAACACAAATTATTCCTAAGTGCACCATAGCATTTTTGTTCCTAGAAGTACTTTATTCATATTAAATGTGCTGGTTATATTTCAAAACCTTCCTAAAAATAACGTGCTTGACTTGCTAGTATTTGACAGAAAGTATAAAAGCAGTTAAGATCCTCAGACATTTCTGCATATAAGTTTTCACTGAATTTAAAGGCCAACTGAATAAATGTAAGCTCGTTGTAAGTAGTTCTATGAAGTTTGTGTAGCTGATCTTAAATATTTACCAGCCGTATATTAAAACCCTGTTTTGTATAGATGAAGCAATCTTTATAACTTCCTGTCATCAAGATTGCATTTCATGTGCTTCTGTTTTTCCATAACACTAGAAAGATAACAAGTAAAAGATACGCACTAGGCTAGAAGCATATTGTTCCAGAGATCTTAATTTACTACCTGGAATGAGCCATCTTAGGGGACCACCCTTTCTCACTGATAGTTAATACATAGTACTCCTGTTTTAAAGTAAACTCGAACTGCCTTCTACCTTAAGTTTCTCTCTTCAGTGTCTATAAAAGTGAGATTTATAACTTTTTGAACTTTTGAGTTTTTGTATGTTTTTAAGTGGATGAAAAAATCTGTCCTATTAATCCTAACAGAAACCTTATCTCTGTGATACCATTATTTTAACAATATTAGTAAGTGTGTATTTATATAAAGTATTCATAGGGCCAAACAACAATTCTATCTGTTATACAGTCAACTTAAGAACAGATATTGGTAAATGCTGACGTTTATGTAGACTCCATTTTGAACATAGTGATTTGTGATATTAGTTGGACCCCGGGTAGCTGTTGTAGAGTTTGCATGCTGAAAAGCCCTAGAATACACAAAATTTCTATGTGGATGTCTGTAGAAATGGGTTTCTAAATTTAGCTTAGAGAGTAGAGGGTGCCCTAGAGAATAGTCTGAATATGATGGGAGAGGAATTTGTATACAATCAGATTTTGCTCTTAAAAGAATCTTTTAGTTATGGTTAGAATTTGAGAATGTAGACTGGAAATAAAGTATAGCTGTTCATGGCTGAATGGATTTGTAAAATAAAAGTGTAAAGGATACATCAATTGATAGTTTAAATATTTATATACATTTTCTTTAATATAGACGTATATTATTTTAAAAACCTTGAAGTTAATAGTGTGTTCTTCATTTTTACCAGAGTTCATTTTAAACATGTTTGTTTAGGTTTTACTGCAATCACAGCAACCAACCCCATTTGGCTTATAAAGACTCGGTTACAGCTTGATGCAAGGTATGTTAATTCATTAAAACAAAATTCATTAAACTTGGATTCAACAAAATTTTTTCTATAAATTTATATCAGTGAGATTTCAGTGCCTGGTATCTAACCAAGTTTTTCCTATCTTTTGCTGGTGAACGGGGGTGGGGAGGTTGTTTTTGAAACTTGGGTCTACCATCAGAAGCAAGGGTGGTATAATAGTTGACAGTGTGAGAGTTCCCAGGGAAGAAATATACTATGCATTGTTTTTCAATAAAAGAAGAAGAAATGAAAAGGACGTAATCTAGCCCACCCAGGCAGTGATACGTCACCCCATAGTTGATTATAGTCTGCCTCCCAACACCTACATAAACTTACATATCAGTGAGTCTAGACTGAGTCTTTGAGAATCGTTGCTCAAATTCAGTAACCTTATACACAGAGAGTCCTGGCATGGGATTTAGCTCACATGTATTCATAGACTTCATTTGTTACCACCAACCATCTTATGGCAGCAAGATTCATTCATTCAATATATCTATATTGAGCAAGTACTGGATGGTTCCAGAGGTAGCCCAGGAAACAGTGGGGACCAACTTTATATGGAATAATCAAGGAATAGTTTTTTGAGCCTTTTTAAGCAGAGACGATAGCGCAGACCTCACACGTCCTAAGTTGAGAGCCTTTGGTGTGTTCTGAGAACTGAGAGAAGGCCAGAAGCAGAGCAGCTTAGAGTCCTGCCATCTTAACTCCTGCATGCCTTTAGAATGGAGGATAGGGGGGAAGGAAACGCTTTACATAGAGAAATGATTCTATCTGGTGTATTATAATAATAATGTTAATAGTTTTCAAACTATCTAATTAGCCTTTCCGTCTGAAGTAGATTGTGTGTAACAAATTTTCATTGTTTTTAATATTTTAGGGTTTGGGAAACAATGTTAGATCTTGTAGATTATAGATAAAACTGTTCTAAGAAATCATTAACAATTATGCCTGCTTAAATATCAGTTTTCCACATTCTGTCATGTTGGACTATATGCTGTTTGGAGACTTGAAAAGAAAATGTCTGATTTTATTTCAGGTGAAATAATTTTTAATAAAATCTTCGAGTGTTGTAACAAAACTCGAGTTTATTTCTTAAAACCAAAGATCTGAAAGGTGATGGTAGATAAAACAACACAAAAGTTAAAAAGCATGAGATGCCAGTCCATATTATACTGTTATAAACTGCCAGGGGTATGCTCCGGTATGTGATAGGTGGATTTGTAGGGGATCCAGGAAAAGCGTGGCTTAAAACTCTTTGATACTATTTTTTCACTTATAATTGTAACACAAGCCCGCACAATTTCTTAGGCCTGGGGGTAGGGAATAGAGGCTGAGGTAATAGTGAAAGATTGATTTGAGGATGCTAACTTACAACACTGAGATCAACGGCAAGGCTGTTTGCATGTTACCCTTTAGGGCTTATAGCTCTTTTAACTTTCTTATGAGAAAGGATCTGATGGCAGAAACTTATTACAGTTGGTTGCATGGATCATTCAACTAAGAAGGTATTTATTCAGTATCATTAGTTGAGGACATTCATTACTTCAAGACAATTATGAATTCATAAAATTGGAGGAATCTGCAGCTTATCAGGTAGGTATCGTAGTGATTTTATTTTGTTATGTCAGAAACAGGTTGTGTATAATTTCTAAAAAGTTAAATTTTCTAAGACAGAAACAGGCTCGCAGACATAGTAAACAATCTTACAGTTACTGGGGAACGGGGGTGGGAAGGGGTAAATTTGGGAATTGGGGATTTGCAAATGTTAGCCACTATATATAAAAAATAGATTTTAAAAAAGTTTCTTCTGTACAGCACAGGGAACTAAATTCAATATCTTACAATAATGTTTAATGAAAACAAATATGTGTAGGTATATGCATGACTGGGACATTGTGCTGTACACCAGAAATTGACACATTGTAACTGACTGTTCTTCAATTAAAAAAAAGTTAAATTTTCCATTTCCCTGTGGATAGCATTTCAACCCACTTCTTACAGATTCCCTTAATGAGGGAATCATAGTGAAGGTGATAAATATTTTTACAACTCACAATTATGTACTTATATAAGAGTAGATGCTGCACCCTTAAGTAGCACTAAGAAGGTTTTCCTGGGCATAATAATCAGTAAATACTTGAAAACTGTTGAGGTCCTAATTCATTATTCACTGAGATGAAAAGATACAGCTATTGCCTTCAAAGGATCAGAGGGAATTTGACTTAAATTCACCCAGTCACTTTTTAGGAAGAACTGGGTGAGGTTAGAAGAATCCCCCAGGTGCCCTGAGATTAGTTAATTGTACTCCTTGCTTTGTGATACTCCATTATCATTAGTGTCTCAGTCATTCTTTTTAACATATTATTAAATGCAAGAAAAAAATCTTTTTAACTTAGTTAGAACTGGATTTAATATAATGTAAGGGGCTTTTGTTTGCTTTGTTTTGTTTTGTTTTGTGAGCTGCAGTCACAGTTTATTTGGACTAAAGGATTTTGTTACTTATTCATATAATACAAACTTCAGTGAAACTGAAGATTCAGTGTAGTGTATTTTGCATTCAGTAAATTAAACTACTTACATGTTACCTATCTGATATGACAAATTTGGAACAAAAGAAAAGGAAATCTAAAATGAATATTTTAAAATTCTGATTTCACTTCATGAATTAGAGGGTCATTATTAGAGCGGCATACTTCTACTATATTTTATTTACTTTATTTAAAAACTTGGACTACTTTACTTATGTTAATAAGATTTTTCCTTTGTGCTTTTTAGGAACCGTGGGGAAAAGCGAATGGGCGCTTTTGAATGTGTCCGTAAGGTGTATCAGACAGATGGACTTAGAGGATTTTATAGGGGCATGTCTGCTTCGTATGCTGGCATATCAGAGACTGTTATCCATTTTGTTATTTATGAAAGTATTAAGCAAAAACTACTGGAATGCAAGATTGCTTCTACGATGGAAAATGAAGAGGAGTCTGTAAAAGAAGCATCAGATTTTGTGGGAATGATGCTAGCTGCTGCCACCTCAAAAACATGTGCCACGACTATAGCATATCCACATGGTAAGAAGAGTCGAGTGTATATAATACATAATCTGTTAATTCAGAAACCTTTTCCCACCCCAGCCAATGGCTCACTTACTAGAACATTGATAATTTTCCCGAATTCCAGTATAACAAAATGCAGTTCATCATAATGGGATTGAATATGTATAAGTCACATAAGGCCATTTTAATAGGTCAGTATGTGTATGCTGTAGTAACATGGTGGTGATTTAGCATGGGCTCTGGACAATCAGATTTCAGCCCAGAGTCAGATTGCAGCCAGGTGACTTTTGGGCAAATTCCTGTTTTTTAAAAAAAGTATGGATGTAGGTCCTACACTAGATATTTTATATTATTACGTGTGTGTGTATAAATACACACATATATATATGATACACATTATTGTTAATCTGCACAGAAATCCTGCAAGTACTTACCTTCTCTATTTAAATGTAGGTATGCCAGAACATAACCAGAATTAACTTCATTTTCAGATGGGAAACCAAAGATGTTAAGATTAAGCAACTTACTTAAGGTCACATAGCTTACTCAGTGGTGAAGCCCAAATTTGAATTGAAGTCTGTAATCCGAAAAAGCAAGCTATTTTACATTGTTTCATGTTGGCAAATAAGTATATATGAATGGTTTTTTAAAATTTGTCTTTTAAGTTTTACAGTATTAGCCTATTCATTAATAATTGAGGAAATCATTTTAAGAGTTTGCCTGCAACATGCTGAGGGTTTTTTGTAACTTTTTTTGTTTTGTTTAAGTGTAGCCTTTGATTTTGGTATGTTTGAAGTTTGACTTGGTTTGGGTTTTTAATCTTAGTGCTTCACTTTTTTTATGCTAATTAATATTTACATTGATCCTTGTAAAGCTAATGCTCTGTGATTAAAGCCCCAATCAGGAAAAATGAAATAGGGCTAGAAAATGAGTATTTGCTCTAAAATGTAATTTACAAATGAAACCAACTCTTTACCCAAATTGGACTTTCAAGTAACCCCAGTTTCCTGAGGCATGTTCCTAAACTTCTTTAAGAGAAGTCAAAATAGTACTAGCAGCGTTGAGTAGCTTCTGACCTCCTGTGGGAGGACTAGATGGTGACCTGGTGACCTGCTCGGGTGAGAAAGAGTTTTGGAGTTGTAAAGCACCCTGTCCCTTCAAGAGAGGTGATGTCATTATAAGAAGAGGTACAGTTTATAAGCAGAATATTTTGGAGTGGAATATATAAATGGCATGGATTTTTAAGAGAGAGGACGTAAGAGATTTCAGATATTAACATTTGCAGTGAAAGTTACTTTCGGTCATTTCCCTCGGGCCAATCAGGAGTAGTGTGTTGAAAAAGTTGAAGATCCCTTTCAGCTCTAAAGGTTTATGATTTTTTTGCTTTTCAGAAGGGGCCTCTTAGCTGACAGCCAGTATTTTAAACATTTTGAGCCTTATTCTCATGAAATTTCATGTTGGTATATGTGGATCATTGTGAATAAATTAATAATTCTCTTTTCTCATTGTAATACCCACTGTTAAGAAATCTTTTCTGCTTGTTTCTCACTGTGTATTTCTATATTCATCTTTCATACCACCTCCATTCTCCTTCCTGCTTCACCTTTTTAAAAAAACTCACATCTGTTCTTCTTTGTAGTTATCCAGTACACAACTGATACTTTTGTTTCATTCTATTTTTTACCATTCAGGAGCCTGTGAAATTTTGTAATTAGTACATATGATTTTAGCCAGCCATCTCAGGAGTTTGTATTATTATAATAACTAGTTTCAGTAAGTTACACATTAAAAATCACTCCTCATTTATCTTAAGTTCACACTTAGTTTGATAAATAGGATATGCTCAGTATTAGGAGGATATAAAGATATCATTTGTGTTTAAATAAAATGGCTTTATTTTTGTCCCATACAGAAGTTGTTAGAACAAGACTACGTGAAGAGGGAACAAAATACAGATCTTTTTTCCAGACACTGTCTTTGCTTATTCAAGAAGAAGGCTATGGGTCTCTTTACCGTGGTCTGACAACTCATCTGGTGAGACAGATTCCAAACACAGCCATTATGATGGCCACTTATGAATTGGTGGTCTACCTGCTCAATGGATAGCACCACCAGGCTGCTGTACTGTAAAGAGGGAAGACCAAAAGATACGTGGACCATGGAGTACCGAAGCCAGCATGGTGGACAGAAGAAAAATAGTTTGGGAACATGGAACTATGCCTATGTGGAAGTTTGGTTGTAGAAATAAAAGAAATAATAACCACATTACTTAGTCTCTTTAGTAATGTGGGGGGGGAAAAAAACCTTGGCTGCCTCCAAGAAGAAGCCTTTAGATGCACTCCTTCCTCAAAATTGCCATTTTCTCTACTATGTCCTTGGGACACAGTTGCATTTTGTTGATTTATGGCAATCAGAGTATAGTGTTTATTCCATGAGCACTTTTCCAGTCTTTAAGACAAAGCCATCCCTAATTACATACCATACAGTAACTATCCAAAGATGGTATTGACAGACATAAATTTCTAACTTCTGGCTTCTGTATAATTCCCATAAAATTGATAAATAACAATAATGAGATCTTCAGTATTATTTTTACATTTCCTTGAGAGGATCTGGCACAATACTTTGAAGTTAAGTATTTGGCATGAGTAGTCAGTTTTTGACAACTCATGAAATAATGTCTAAATACCATGTATATTTTCAGCTTTAAAATGTTTTGGTTTCCACTCACAGGTGCTTTACGTTTAGCATAATGTGAACACTTAAATTGTTTATTAACGTATTGACTCAAATGGTGACAGTTTGGGACAAAATAAACTGGTAAAATGTTGATTTTTGGCCACTTCAGTAACTTAAACGTGTCCTCTTATCTTTTCTAACATGGACGAATATCTTTTTAGTAATGTATTACTTATGAACTTGAATGATTACCTATCATACCTAGGTATCGTTTTCTTAAAGTGAAAAAAATTTACCTCTTCTGAATCTTTCTCTATTTGGTTTATCTTAAGAGTTTGAACCTTTGAATTATTTCCAGAACTTCTGCATATATTGGATTTATTTAGTAGAGAAAATGGTAATTTCCAGCTCTGCCCTTTACAAGGTGGGTTTTTTTTTTTAAGATGACATTATAAATATCTGAGGCAGCATAAACATTATGGAAGAGGGGCCCTCTGCTGTCTGATTGAGCAGGTAGGGATCCTAATTGACTTACAGTTTTGTAAGTGAACAAAATGCTTTTGACAAGAAATTTATTCCATCCTAATTTCTTGAGTGATAAATCATAGAAAGATTCAGGTTAATTCAGGTTAAGTGTGTTAACAGGATAGAGCTTTTACATTTTGCTATTGCGTTCAACTGCACCTTTTAATACTTTAAATGTATTATATATATATGGCCCTTATGAAGATACTTGCTGTAATTCTATTAAAAGACTTTTGCTTATGGATGTTGCTGTACTGGTGTATGAAACTTACACAATTAAACTCCAGTGTGGTACTCATTTCAGTATATATGAACTGTTCATTTTGTGCAATGGCTTTATCTTAGGAATGACTTTTTGTGAATGCACTTTGTGGCCTTTTTTTAGGGGGGATGGTGAGCGTAGGAGAGAATTCCCATGTTAAGATTATTTTTTTAAAACATTGGTTATGTATTAGGCAGAAACAGTGTTCATAACATTTTCCCGGGGCTTAGGTATGTTGTTTTGGAGATCTTTAATATAAATGTTAGAAGTATTCTGTGTACACTGTAGTGCCCCTAACAGAAGATTGTAGCATGTCATTGCAAGCTTTCTCTGCTGTCACCAATGAAACACAGCGCCCTCTTAAATTCCTCCACCTTCTTAACTTCCTTGTAACCAACAGTAACTGGATGTTTTTGAGGTGCTTTGATTGGAATTTAAAATATTCCAATCTATTTGGAGACCAAAGGCAAATTCAGTTTCATCACCTTGGGGATTATCCATACCTTTTATGGTGAATTTCAGTTTTGACATTTATTGTGAGGAACATGCCAAAAAAGAAAACAGTCACAGGGGTTTCTAACTTAAACCTGTAGAGAAAGTATCAATCTAGTCTGTTTCCATTTTCAGGTGCCACTTACACTGCCTAATACAGTGCCGTTTGCCTTGTGAAGATCTGTAACCATTAGTGTACTGAATGTAGGACAGGACTCTCTAATCTTCGTGATCTCAGTACCCCACAAATGATTAGGAATGATACGAAGACCAGCAGCTAAGGAACATCTTATTTAGTTGTAGCAAATTCATAACAAGTGTCCTTCAAGGATGAACACATATTCTATTCCTGTTTGTATGCGTATATTGAGCTTTTAGCCGTGAGCATATGTGTGTGCTGAAAGGAGAAGATCTTGAGTGTTAGCCTTTGTTTCTTTGTGTGACAACTGGAAAGGAGCAATGAAGTTTATTTCAGTTGTTTTTCCCCCAAAGTAGGATCTGCCATAGTTTATGTGTGACAGAGATAATTTTAAAAGACAACTTTATATAAAAGTTGTATATAAAGTTTGTCTCAGAAACATTTTTGGGGGGATTTTTTTTTAATTGATGCAAACGTTTAAAAAGAAGAATGCACTTAAAGCATTGGGCTTTTTTTAAAAAAAACTTATTTTCATCTAATTTCTATTAGATAACTTTTTATTTTATGGTGTAGATGTAGTCAGCACTCTTCAAACTGGTACGTACTTTTGTTAGAGAATCTTCCCAGAAGATTGAATTGAACTCGTTCAGGCTACAGCAGTACCTACTCGAAGAACATACTCTCTTAGAGGAGCTGACAAGAACTTTGATACCTATAGCTCACAGAAACAGTTTATTAAATTTCAAGAGTCTCAAACCTGAGAATGACCAACCTTTGATTGATTGTCAGGTACCATTCAGTGCTTTTAAATCCAGGAGAAAAACCATCACCAAAGCTTTTGTCTTGGTTTTCATTATGTATGTAACTTTGTGGAATCAACCTTACTAGATAGGACCCACAACTAATTGATTTATAACTCTGGAACCGGGGGAATGTTAACTAGATTATTTAATACAGCCTTTTGTCTCCTTAAAACCTAACGCCCTTGGTGGAAAAGCATTATTAGGACCAGCAGAGTTTGGGTTGCTAAAAATGTTTACTCTTTATTACTAGAATATAAACGTGTCAGCATTTTTAGATTTGTTTTAAATCACTAAAAAATACCGATCTTGAAAGACTTACGTGCTAGGATTAGTTTATCCTCCACTCTTCCAGCGTTGTTCGTGCCACCTTTTGTTGTTTACGCACTCTTCTGCCCAGACTTAGTACTGTAGGGACCCCTTTTGGGCTGATATGTATAATGGTTCAGCCTTTTTCTCCTGTAGTATTGATCATGACTTTAACATTCCTAAATCAGATACTTCTGAATGATTTAAATTGGAAAGAACTTCAACTATATAAAAGTATTTAATACAATACACTTTCTGCCTACACAAATCTCTTCTCCAGTGCCCTTATATTTCTCAATCTATACTCTGCTTTTTATGCTACTTTTAGAAACCGAAGTTTCTAGTTTTACTCAGTTTTTGTGTTAATAAACATTTTGAATGTGTACACCCCTGCATATGTGAACAATTAAATTATGACCTATCAGTCATAGCTAAATAATCAACTTCTAAGAGTTGATAGCCTTTGACCATTTATGTGAAGTTTGCTATTCTTGCATTTCTGTATGTGGCTGTAAATTATGTGCATTTACTCTGTATTTATGTTAACTAGCTGAATTTTATTTGAATTGTTAAAATTCAAAAATTAAAATATGCTTATGAAAATCTGATGTGTTGGGTTTTTTCTATAATAAATCTTAATATTATGATATGGTGAGAATATAATCACACTTTCTTAGGATTATGTGCAGAACAGAAGTGTACTACCATTTTCAAGTGTTAGGGTCCTACCTGCTAGACCTAGTAATAGATGTCATGAGGAATCAAAAGGTCAAGTAAAGTAATCTCACTCATAGTTCAGGAAGAAATCTCTGTTCTTGCATATTTTCCACAGGTTTATTGATCTGTTAAGTCCAGTACATTTCATGTATCAAAATACCTAATTTGCAAAGAATATTTCAGAAGTTGGACCCTGATTAGGTTATTTGATGCCTCCCTAGGTGTTTGTTTAACATTAGAATCTTCTATTTGTTTTAGTTTCAACCTTTAGTAAAGCTATGAATATTAAAGAGCTGGAAACTTGTTAGAATAATCAAGTCCACAAATGATAGGTTGAAACAAGGAAGACAGATTTAAGTATTATGTATAGGTACCTGCCCACTTTATATTTTGTCTATTTTGGTTTTTTTAGGTTTCCTCAAATTGCAGCTACCATCCAGCATCACCCAGTTTTGTACATGAGGAATCCAGGACAGATTTGTCATGTTCCATTTCTCAACTTAAAGCTGAAGTTGGCCTCCCAACAGTATCTTCCCAATGAAGACCAGAATACTGGGTAAAGTGAAGATACTGTCAAAGTAATGGTTGAGGTTGGTATGACTTAGCTCAAGTGTCCCAAGTGTAAACTGTGGCTGTGTGTTCATTACCAAATAACCAGGAGCTGTGATGGAGGAAGAAACCTGAGTTTACGGTTTCTTAATGTTCCAGTGTGACATCTAAAACTGATAAAACTCAGGCAAGCAAGCAAAGTGTACTTAAATGATTTCCTTTGTTAATTCTTTGCATTGCACAGACCAGCTGTCTGCCTTTATGTACGGAATTGATTCAGTAATTTAAAATTTAGAGTGCTAAGTTTACACAGTGATTTCGTGTGATTTCCCAACAGCCTATAGATTGGGTGGATAGATGTGATATTAAAAGGGTTGTTAGTTACAGCTGAGTGTTTTTGATTTGGATGTTCTAAATCTTAGTCCTGTGTTTTTTCACTGCACTAGGTTATTCATCAGCACTTGGGATAACACTTAGATGATATTTTTTAAAATACACAGCCCTATTTAAAGGAAAGATCTACGAGGATTGGCTCAGAATGAAACATTGAAAAGTAATGAGAAATGGAGCTCTGTATGTAAGTTGGAACAACGTGAACTGAATCTTTGAATCTGATTTATACAGAGCTTAGACTACATCCTGAGACTACTGGAGAGGCACTGGATTTTCTTTTCCCCCAAAGCATTCTTGTGATATAGAAAGTCAGACTTAGCAAACATTAGATTCAATTTGTCTTAGATGAGCTACCTTCATTATAGTACCTGTGAGCCTCAGGGATGTCCTAGGTTCTCAAGTGTTATGATGATTATTTCTCTTAGAAAAACCTGGAAAGGTTGCCTGGAAAAAAATAATATTTTAACCAGGCTTTAAAACAAGGATGGAAATTTGATGGGCTGATTTAGGAAGGGGCTTTCCTCGTTGAAGCAAAGATCAAAATTTTCTAATAGCCCATTGGGAGAAGTAACCCATTTTCTTTTATAATTCCAGGAAATTGACTCAAAAAGTAACTGTCTTGACATTTTGAAATTAATGGAAGACCCAAAATTCTAAACCTAGTCAAATTCAAAGGAGCTCATCACATTCAGCCCAAC